TAGGAAATGCCAACCATTTGTTTAATGGAATCAATAAAGAAATAAAAGACAAACCTAAAGTAATATTCATCTTGAACTACAGAATGAAGAATAGTATGGATGCTGCCATAATACAATCAATCTGGATTAGACTAAAGCATTCAGCCTCTCGCTGACGACTATCAAAGCACTATTTCAGGCAAAGGCATAACAATGATACTAAAACCAAACCAAACTCACTGCCATCAAGTTGATTCCGACTCACAGGGACCCTCACTGGGTTTCCAAGGCTCTAAATCTTTATCAAAGTAGACTGTCCCCATCTTCCTTCCTTGGAACAGCTGGTGGATTTGAACCACTGACATGGTTAGCAGCCAACTGCCTTATCCACTACAGTGCCAGAGAGCTCCTTAACAATGACACCAAAACCAAAACAAACCCACCGCCAGTGAGTCGATTCTGACTCACAGCAACCCCCCACTGGCTTTTGAAGCAGTAAATCTTTACCAGAGTAGATTGCCCCATCTTCCTTCCGTGGAGTGGTTGGTGAGTGTGAACTGCCAAACTTCTGGTTATCAGTCAAATGTTTTAGGCACCACACCACCAGAGCTCCTTAACAATGATACAGATGTACATAAAACCTGTGGCAAGTTTAATAGTTAAATACGCACACATATACACGTTTTTAAGAGAGAAATCAGAAGACTTTTCTTTTTTTAAAAGGATGAATTTATTGAGGAAATACAGATAACCCCTGCTTTTTCAAAATTCCCTCTCTGCCACTTTGCTTTTAGGAAAACAGGCAAAATTAGTTTGGTGTTTGTTTTGCATGGAGCTGTTAGAGGCAGCACACACCTCCAGTAGCCAGAGTGTCACCGCAAGCTCCTTCCTCAGGAACTATATTCAGCATGTCAGCAACAAGCCACCATAGCTTTGAACTGTGTCTGTCAACATTGTGTTATTTTAGGTTTTAGACGTTACTTGGTATGATTTGGTAGGTTGGGTCTGGGAATGTGCAAAATTTTTCCCATATAAATTAATGGTTAATTGCTTCTTTGCTGTACATCATTTTGGTTTAGGAAGACTATTTTCGAATGAGGGGGAAGGGAGATAGAAAGCTGTAAACTAGTGGATGTCTTTCACTTGTAGTAGAGGCAGAGCATCTCAAGGGTAGATTGAGAATAGCACAAAGTAGGTACAGTAACTCTACAATTTTTGGGGGATAAAAGGACCTGTGCCAATGCAGGATTGTGCCACCTTCACTGTTTTTGTTTACAGTTGTTTGGGGGAAAAAAAAAATCCATCCAGTCAAATCTCCCACAACTCGGGAAAGCAATGATGTTAGATCTCCCACGTGGCATCCAGTCTAAGCAATCCCTGTCCATCTGATCTCTTGTTGTCTAGAAAAATCTGCCAGGATCCTCCAAGATAGTTCGCCATTCTCTCACTTCTCAATTTGTGGTATAAACTCAAGGCCTGACACAGGATGGCCACGAAAATTTGAATAAATCAATCACAATAGCTCTAGCACCACAGTTGCAATGCTCAGCAGACACCGAGACATAGTTTTCCCCCTACACCCTCTGTGAGTGCAAGCTCTGGCTGAGATATTGCAAGAACATGTTAGCTAGTTGAGGGAGGTTCTCATTGTTGGGGTGCATTTTGGTGTAGGAAATAAACTGGCGTCGCAGTCGGCTCAGTTCTGCCATGGTAAAGGGCCTGGTAAACCGCAGGCGCTCCGTGGTGCCAGGAAGCGTCAGCAAATCCCCAGGGACAGCGCTCTTCTGTGCTTCCATCAACCCTCGCAACACCTGGCTAGTGATCTGGTCTAAATGATGCAGAAAGTTGCCAGAAGCAAGGGGCTGGGACTGCGTGGCTTGATGGGGTGGAGGGGCCCGGTTCTCAAACAAGGCAGCTCGAATCTCTGCCAGAGGCAATGGTTCCTCTAAGCCCACTAAGGTGAACAGGGGCCGGTCCCAGCGGTTCCTGGAGTCGGGAGCCTCGAAACGCTGCGCTAGGGCCTCGAGAAGTTCGGGAGGATAAAAGGCACTGAACACATGTTTAATAGATTTCTCAGATTCTGGAGTTACAAGAGCTTGAGAATTTGATTCCGTGGTTCCCTCCGCCTCCAGTTCCTTAGGTACCTCGGCCTGAGGTCTCCCATTTAGTTCAGACCTCACTGCTTGAGGTTGTCTGACGATATTGCTGCCTGGCACCTGCGATCTCTCGCCCTGCTCAGTACGCGGCCGCCAACTCACGTAGACGTTCCAGCCGCCGTCCTCCTCTGAACTCGCCACTTCAGATCCCCCGATCGGACCGGAGGGCCGCACGCAGTACACCACACAGAGAGGGGTGCGTGCCGCCCGGGCCACGCAGTAGAGCTCGTACCGGAAACCCTTGATGTAATTAAGAGAATCGAGGATGACCACGTTTTGGCGACTCAGGCGCCGCTCCACGGCGGCTCGCAGCGCTCCGCGTAACGCCTTCTCACGGGCCGAGTCCCCATACACGGTTGCGTCCTCCACACCTAACACCGCCGAGTCGTCCACTACGTACACCGCTCGGCCCTCAGCCTCCAGCGATCCACGCAACTCCTTCACGCGCCGGCTCTTGCCGCTGTACGGCAGCCCACAAAACACCACTAGCGGCATTCTCCGAGGGCGCCTGCACCGCGTAAACTTCCGGGTTATTCGCTTAGCCGGTGTAAACCGGAAATTTAAACGGTACTTCCTGCTTCTACAACACCCTTTGTTGCCATAGAAACAATTTATAAGCCAACTACGGCTTTGTCTGGGAGCTCTGGTGGTGTAGTGCCTAATGCGTTTGTTTGACTGTTAACCAGAAAGCTGGCGGTTCAAACTCACCATCCACTCCTCGGAAAGAAGACTGGGCAATCCACTTCCCTAGAGATAGCGCCTGGGACACCCAAGGAGGGGTCGCTATGACTCAGGACCAACTTGAAGGCAGTGAGTTTGTTTTTTTGTTTTTTATGGCCACATGCAGCTGCCTAAGAAAGGTCCTGCTTTCCGTTTTGTGCAGCAGTTATTTATGTCAAATGTTAGAGGTCCCAGGAGACTGCTCTCCTTGTGGGCAAAGACTACGCCCATTCATTTATTAATGAAGAGTTAATGTGCACCGAGAGCCCTGGTGGAGCAGTAAAGTGCTCAGCTATTAACGTAAAGGTTGGTGATTTAAATCTACCAGGCTCTGAGGGAGAAAGCCTGCAGCACCGGAAACCCTATGTAGGAGTTCTACCCTATTCCATAGGGCTGAATCCACTTGAGGGCAAAGGTTTTAATATGCACTGAAGGAGTCCTGGCAGCGCAATGGTAAAGCGGTTGGAGGCTAACAGCTGCTCTGTGGAACAAAGATGTGGCAGTTTTGTAAAGACACATAGCAACCCCATAGGACAGGGTAGAACTGTCTTGGAAACCCTATGGGGCAGTTAACTCTATCCTCTAGGGTCCCTGTAAGTTGGGATTGGATTACAACAGAATATGCATTAAATATTGCAAAACAATCAGCACTGTATTTAGCACTGAGGGCAAATGATAAATGCCAATTTCCTTTCACTCTTCTTACACCCAGTGGCTTTCAAAAACAAACTCACTGCCATCAAGTCGGGTTTCTGGGGCAGTATTTCTATGGAAGTAGATTGCCCAATCTTCCTTCCAAGGAGTGGCTGGTGGGTTTGAACTGCCAACCTTCTGGTTAGCAGTCAAATGCCTCAAGTACTACGCCACCAGAGCTCCTCAGTAAATGTTTATTCAACAAGCACTTCATTCAGTATCTCCAGGGCTGTTAATACAAAGATGAACATAGAACTGCTTGCCACTATATGCAATCTAACTGAAAAACAGTCAAACACCTACAATGAGAGTAATGCATATATAATACATAGATGTAGGTAGGGTTGTAAAAGTATGAAAAGAAACAAACTACTGAAACCTAGGAGGACTTTACCTTGTTGTTGTTGTTGTTAAGTGCTGTCAAGTCGTTTCCGACTCATAGCGACCCCATGCACAGCAGAAAGAAACACTGCCCGATCCCACGCCAGCCCCACAATCCATGCTATACTCCAGCCCATCATCGCAGCCACTGTATCAATCCATCTCCCTGAAGGCCTCCCCCTCTTTTGTCGACCCTCCACCCTACCAAGCATGA